CTTCCTTCCTTCCTTCCTTCCTTCCTTCCTTCCTTCCTTCCTTCCTTTCTTTTTTTCTTTCTTTCTAAAAGAAACTTCAATAATGTGTTAGAGGCTGCATTGGATTCCTGGGTTCTGACCTGGACTCGTCTTTTACTCAGTCTCTCTAGAAACATGAGTGTGAGCCGGGCCATGGAGGACAGCTGTGAGCTGGACCTGGTGTATGTCACCGAGCGCATCATCGCTGTGTCCTTCCCCAGTGCGGCCAATGAGGAGAACTTCCGCAGCAACCTCCGTGAAGTGGCCCAGATGCTGAAGTCCAAACATGGGGGCAACTACCTGGTGGGTGGGCCTCATCCTTCTTGCTCCCCTCCTTTACACAGAGAGTCTCTGCCCACGCCCCAGGCCGGCATGCCTTCCCTCAGTTTCTGTCCATCTTGCAAGGCCCAGGACTTCGCTGTTATCTCAGAAAGAATTGGTTCTCGGGGGACCATGTGCAGTTGAATGTAGCACCTGGAACCAAGTGTTTGCTGTTTGAGTGTGAGTAGGTGTGAGTGCCTGTGTGTGCATGTGTGTGAGGGTGAGAATGTGTGAACGTGCTGGTGTGCAGACTAGGGGAAAGAGAATAAAGTCACAGTTTTATGTTGCCGAGCCTGCGCTGCAAGCTGGGCCTCCCGGTAACCTCTTCACCTTCAGAACAGGCCCTAGAGAGAGCTGAGGTCTGTAGAGCTGCTTCGGGTGGAAACCCTGGAGTAGACTTGGCCATGTGCAGTTTTGGAGTGCCCTGTGACTGGCTAGAGTCACCAGATATCAGATAGGTGGATGGCAGAGACATCCTCTACAGCAGGAGAGTGACCGTTCCTGAGGGGAGACTCAGATCCCTGCGCAGGGGCCTGAACTGCTGGCCCTGAGCCACTGGGTGCTGCTTGCCGTGTTTAGCAGAGCTGGGCTGAGGTGGTTGCACAAGGGTTCTGGGGCTGCTGGAACAAATGGCCACACACTGTTGGACTTAAAATGACAGGAATGTGTTCTGGAGGGCCGGCATCTGGTTGACGGTGAGGCCATGCTCCCTTGAATCCTGGAGGAAACCGCCTTCCTCGCCTCTACCCCACTCCTGGCCGCTCCCAGCACTCCCAGGCATTCTCTGGCTTGGAGCCACATTGCTCCATTCTCTGCCTTCACCTTCACATGGCCTTCCCCGTCTGTCTCCCCTCTAGTTACAAGGACATTAGTTGTTGGTCTTAGGATCACCCTGAATCCAAGAATATCTCCTGGCGAGATCTTTAACTATGTCCCAAAGTCCCAGGTTCTGAAGTTCTGAGTGGCCATGCATTTTGAAGGCTTCTGTAACAACCCATCTATCATCTGTGCTGAGCAGTGTGAAGTGCCTGGCTTCCAATAACAGAAAGTCCTGGCTTCTCATTCTGGCTCTGTGAGGGCTGAATAGATGGCTATTAGTTATGAAGCCAGCTCTGTGACATGGCTAATGTCATTATGTGTGCTCCTTAATGGAACCGGGAGTGTCCGGAGTTCTCTGGTTCTAGATGCCTGTGCTCTGCTGCAGCCCCTTCCTGCCTGCCCATTTTAGGGTCTGCCCCTTTCCTCCTGGGAGCTGGCATAGCTACTGTCAATCTTCTGGTGGCTTAGACAGAGGTAGACAGTTTTTCACAGTCCTTCATGGGGGTCAAGGGATGGGAAACAGGGTAGGCTGTTGGATGTGAGTAGGTTCCTCGTGTTTGAGGGGGACCACCAGGATGTCTCACGCCTTATGTTAGAAGGAGGCCACAAGACAGAGAAATAGTGTTGTTGTGCGATTTGGTCCTAAAGCCAGAGGCGGCCACCATCTGTCACTCAGCACCCGTGGGCTGGGCTCCATCCCTTTTCATCCCTTGCAAGGGGTGTGGCTGAGCATGGTAGTCTCCACCTTCCCAAGAACTCATTGCTGGTCCTGTTGGCCAGCATGTGTTCACGGTGGGAACATTTCCGTTAGGCGAGAGGGTGGCAGCAGGTGCCAGAATCCGGGAGCTCATGGCTTGCTGTTGGCCAGGCTCCTGACAGGCAGGATCAGATTCCCGCCTCCTTTCTCAGCCTCACTTCTCCTTTGTTTCTTTCTAGCTCTTCAACCTCTCTGAGCAGAGGCCTGACATCACGAAGCTCCACGCTAAGGTGAGTATGTGGCTGTTGTAGGATGTCTTGGCCTGGCCTAACCTGGGGTAGCGGGCGAGAGAACACGCCCCCTCTTGCTTATGTGTCATGTTCTATGACAGTTCCAAGCTCAAGGGCATCTCAGATCTGGAAAATGTACTATAGTACCAACTACTGAAATTCCACACAGTGGTTTCTGGCCTCATCTGCTCCTGGGGAGGAAAAACACAGGGCCTCTGGGAGTGGGGCTGCGGCTGTGTCTATTCCACATAGGCTGCTGTCCCAGGGTTTACTCTTCATGCTGAGTGAGTTGTTAGAGATGTTGTTGGGGACCTTGGCTTCTATCCTGAATTCTGGTGCCTGTCAGTGTGGGACCTCAGGCGAATGACAGATTTCTCTGGACCTCAGACCGTGTCTCTGAGAGTGGGCAGCTGGCGTAGGCATGTTCTGTGGATCCTACCAAACAGCGGCTCTTTTTATTTAGTGTTTCATGAAGTTAGAGATGGCCTGAGGGGGCTGTGAGGGCTTGAGGGCTTGTGGCCACGGGGACGTCCTGCTTCTGCCCACTTCAGACTTCTCTCAGAGGCCTGAAAATAGGCAGCCTGTATATTCAGGGTGGTGTGAGCACCGGAGGACCCTTTCCTCTCTCCTGTCACCCTGAATCAGCCTTGAACTGGCCTTCGAGGGGAGCTGGAGGGCTGGGCTCAGGCCTCTCTGGAAACATCGAGACCACAGTTTCACATTGTACATCTTGGCACACATCCATAAGGGCAATAGCTCTGGTCGAGGGACATGGCTTGCCTAAGACCCTACTGTGAGTCTGGTCCAGGTCAAGACCTTTGCTCTTCGAGCCTTGCTTCTCAGCAGGTCTGACGAACAGGACAAGTGCAGAGGCCTGGCTGCTGGTGGCTGTGCCCATGCTGTGCTGCCTGGCTTGATGGAGTCTCCAGGCTTCCCTTGTTTACTGACGTTTCACCCCCAGGTCCTGGAATTTGGCTGGCCTGATCTGCACACTCCGGCCCTGGAGAAAATATGCAGTGTCTGCAAGGCCATGGACACCTGGCTCAACGCAGACCCCCACAACGTTGTTGTTCTCCACAACAAGGTCAGCGTGCGGGCTGTGCACGTGTGCTCATACCTGGGTGTGCACGTGTGCGCGTGCGCACACCTGTCTGGGTGGTTGTGTGAGTGTGCTCCCCTACCTGTTTGCGCTTTCCATTCTAGAACATTATAGATTCTGCCCAACAGTAGACCTCCAACAAATGGGGCAGGGCAGGGCAGGGCAGGGCAGGGCAGGGCAGGGCAGGGCAGCAGCTTATATTCCTGGCAGTGAGGGTGGGCTAGCTTTTCTGGTTTCTCCCCTCCTGCCTCCCTCCCCATTGCTCCTCTTTCTCCAGAACTTCCCTCTTCTCTCCCACCCTTGGCCCCTCGGCTTTGGACAAGAGAGACTGTTTGGAAACGATGACCTTTTGCCTCTTTCAGGGAAACCGAGGCAGGATTGGGGTTGTCATCGCGGCATATATGCACTACAGCAACATTTCCGCCAGGTGAGAGGTCCGCTATCTTCTATCCCGGCTTCTCTTTTCAGGACATTGACTTGAGGACACCCCTCCCCCATCCACATGCCTTCTTGGGGCCAGGGAGAGCTCTCAGATAAAGAAGCAGGGGTGATAAGAGGTACAGGAACCCCCAGAGCTAGAGAAAGTGCCCCAGCTCTGAGGCAACATGAAAACATGTGGCCGCAGGGAAGAGAGCCTAACCCTGTGTGGAGGATATTCGCCAGCATTTTGGGGGCCACGTATCCTCTCTCAGTTGCCTTCTCTTTCCCTGAATGAGCCAGGAAGAGATCAGAAAGATGTTTCATCAGAATCGAACCCAGGGGTCAATCTGGAAGTTATCCTAAGCCGGCAAGGTTTTCTTTTTGCCATTGTGTTTGGGAGAAAGAATAGGAACAAGCCAGTGGAAGGATCCCATCCTGACCCAACACAGGACAGAGACCAAAGGCTCCTTCATCCAGTATGGCTGCCCAGAGGTTGCTATGTCCAGGACCATGTTTTAATGGTGCTTGGAAGGATGCAGAGGGCTCAGCCCGAGGACTGTCCTTGAGGGCTTTAAATACTAAGCAGGTTTGTTAGCAGCATCCATAACTGTGGCTATGAAACTATAGAAGCCAGAAGTGGTATGTGCTCAGGGGGACCTGTGGCTCTAGGGGCCTAGAGGATTGCTGTAGTTTGTGGAGAAGTATGGGTATGAGCAAAGTGTCTGCTGAGTATAGAGTTAGAGAAGGCTTAGGACAGTCAGGGTAACAGACAACATGGCCTTGCTGGCCTTAATGAGAGCTTTGAATTTACTGTAAGCATGATGGGAAGTTATTGGAGTGCAGAATAATCTCTACATGCTCAGAGGATGGGTGTAGTGTTGTGTGGAGAGTGTCAGAAACCAGGCCAGCCTTGTGTCTGCTGAGTGGGCACCCATGGCTGCCAGGCTCTTAATGGGTGTCACCTCATCTAATCCCCTTTAAGCCTCATTTGATAAGGAGAATTAGGTTTTATGAAAAGGATTAGGTCTTAGGAGCAATTGGTAGTAGTCTAGAGATGGGTGCCCAAGTGACTTGACTGAGAGCTACGCCATACAGATTAGAGATGCTTAAGTGTCTTAATTAGAGTTTCTATTGCTGTGAAGAGACATCATGACCACGGCAACTCTTAAAGAGGAAAATGTTTAATTGGACCGCTTAAAGTTCAGAAGTTCAGTCCACTATAATCATGGTGGGACATAGTGGCATTCAAGAAGACGTGGTGATGGAGAAGAAGCTGAGAACTCTACATCTTTGATCTGCAGGCAACAGGAAGTAAACTGAGACACTGGGAGGTATCTTGAGCATAGGAGACTACAAAAATCCACCCTCATGGTGATACTCTTCTTCCAACAAAGCCACACTTACCTCAACAAGACCACACCTGCTGATAGTGCCACTCCCTATGAGCTTATGAGAGTCAATTACATTAAATTACACACAGTGCTGCATGGTGGAGGAGCAGTTTGTCTTTCCACAGAAACCAGGGTCTGGGGGCTGTGCAAGTCTAGGGGAGTCTGAGTGTAGTTGGACTTTTTCTGTTCTGCCAGCCAGCTCCCAAATAACCACATGGAGACTTCTTATTAGTTATGCAAGCTTGACCTATAGCTTAGGCTTATTTCTAATTAGCTCTTATAACTTAGATAAACCCGTTTCTATTAATTTACTTTCTGCCTCCTGACTTCATTACCTTTGCTCTTCCCATGCTGCCTTTCTGCTTCCTTCATGTCTGACTGGAGATTCCTTGTGTCTCCACCATTCTTCTTCCAAACGTTCTCTCTGCGCTGAAAATCCTGCCTAGCTTTTATTTAAACCAATCACAGTGAAATAACTTCAAACAGCGTAAAGGAATGTTCTACAACACCTGAGTGATGGGACAAGGGGCCCTCTGGTGTGGGAGTGGGCCTCTCTGATCACCTGCATCTCTCCACAGTGCTGACCAGGCTCTGGACCGGTTTGCAATGAAGAGATTCTATGAGGATAAGATTGTGCCCATTGGCCAGCCATCCCAGAGGAGGTGAGTGCCTGGATTCCAGGCCCAGGGTGTGCTCTCCCTGTGGTGGATGCTGGCCTTGTGCACTCTCAGGGATGAACATCTGCTTAACTGAGGGTACCCTAAGCACAGGCGTTAAGACTGTAGTGGCATGGGCATGGTGGTGCCCACAGGTTGGGGTATCAGTTAGCTTCTGGGGCCTCTATCAGAGGACAGTCTGTGGTGGCATGGCTCTGGAGGAGCAGATGCTCAGCCTATGTGAGAAGACACATGCTGTCCTTGTCCCTGGAGGCAGGGTGACTTCTGTCTGTGAATGAGTCTACCTGACACTGATGTCCCTAATGCCCGTCCTTGGAGGTTGTAGATAGCACCACAAGGGGGCGCCTTCTCTTGGGAGAATTTATAGTATTCTGCTAAGGGCCCCAGCCACATGTTCTCACTGGAGTGTCTAATAATAGCCCCGACAGGAAACAGGACCAGATGGAGTTATCCATCACCAAAGCTGAGGAACTCTGCTGTATCTGTGGGCACTGGGACATCCAGGCTAACAGAGCAGAGTCTCTCTGCCTGAGGGAGCTGTGGGTCTGTTGAGAGGGACAGGCCTCAAACAAGTGACCATCCAGAAGAGACATGACAGATAGGATGCGTGAAGACAGGTTTGGGATACATCTACATATACTGTTATTTTCTACTTATACTTTGATCGGATACCGCGGGACAGATATGGAGGGGCGGGGGTGGGTAGAGTAGAGAGAAGGAAGAGAGACAGAGGGACAGAAGAGAGGGAATAGAGGAGGGGGAAGAAAAAAATAGAAGGGAGGTGCAAGAGAGAAGACCCGAGTTGGGGAGCGCTGCAACATTGAGAGTGAACTGTAGGGAACTGGCTTTTTTCATAACAGCCTGGAGTCTTGGGGGTGGGGGTGGGGGGGTGGGTGCGGGTAGGGAGGTGATTGTGAAGTCCTAATTGGAACAGTGGTGATGACTGGGTCACCCTTCTTCTACAGATGGGAAGCCTGAGAGCAGGGTGGGGACGGGCCAGGGGGCCCCCGCAGTGAGTGGTGGCTGAGCTAGAATAGTGTGCGGGGCTGGGAACCTGGGGCTATGCCCTGCAGGGGTCCTGTCAAGGTCACCTGGTCACGGGGAGGCTATAGTCACAAGCCCCAGCCTAGGCTGGAGACCTAGAGAGCAGAACCCTGTTGTGGCTGTGAGCTGTGGGCCTGCTTACCTGTCTGTGCCGGCTTAGCCTCGTTCTCGCACCAAGGACAGGGCACTAAATCTGTCCTACAAGGGCGTGTGTGGGCACGTTTCTTGTCAGCAGCTGCATGCTTCCAAATAGAAGATCGCCGCAGAGGCCAACAGGTGTTTCTGGAGGAAGTTCAAACCAGAGCGATGGGCAGGCATGGGGCTGGTTCAAAGTGATGCATGATGGGGAAGGTCTGGGTGAGCAGGGTGAAGGTGGGGTCCCAGCCAAGGCGGGGGTCTGGGTGCAGCAGGCAGGAAGCCTGGAGGCTTCTGTAGATCCTGGGAAATTAGCTATAGATTGCAAGGACCCTTCCTGCCTCTTGTTTTTTGTTTTGTTTTGTTTTTTCGAGACAGGGTTTCTCTGTAGCTTTGGAGCCTGTCCTGGAACTAGCTCTTGTAGACTGGGCTGGTCTCGAACTCACAGAGATCCACCTGCCTCTGCCTCCCAAGTGCCAGGATTAAAGGCATGCGCCACCACCTCCTGGCCTTCCTGCTTCTTCATATTGAGGATCCCCGACATACACCCATATCCCCGCCCCCAACACTTGCTTATCTGGATTGGGTCTGCTGTCACTACTGGGGACCATTACTGCCTCTGTAGTCGGAAGCCCAGATAAAAGCGCATGACTACTCACCGGGTACCCAGGGGCCCAGTGCCTCCTGCAGTGCAGCCACACTGACTGCCAGCCTCCTAGAAGCCCTCAGCGTTCACAGGAGGAAGCAGTACAAGCCATGGGCCAGTTCCTGGCGTTCTGGCGTGCACACGTGACAACATGGTCTCCGTCACCTTTGACCCTGAAGATTAGAGTCTACTTCCTAATGGGAATGTGGAGCCTTACTCTGTCCCACTGTGGCTTGGAGAAGGTGGGCTGGACAGTCGCCCCGATGCCGAGCAGCGGAGACCTAGGCTCCTCTAGTCAGAGAGAGAAGTCCAGGGGATCCCTCACATGCCTGCAAGCCGTGAAGTTGTCACGTGACTTTGCGTGTGTTATCAGCATCTGCCCCGGCTCCCACGGGCCACTGCATTTGGTGGGTGGGGGCCAGGCCACACCGTGCACACACATGAGAAAGTGCAGCTGTTGGTTTTAGGAATAATGCTCCCTGCCAATCTCCTCTGCCTTCTTGTCAGTGTTCGCCACAGGGAACGCTGTGAGGCAGCTGGAGAGGGAAGAGCAAGGACGGAGCAGGAGGGGCTTTGCCTGGAGCTCACCCATTCATTGTCACCCGCCCTCGGACTCATTGTCCCCAGAACACAGACACATCCTGTTGGCCTGGTCAGGAGATCTGATGGGAACCTGCCATTCCAGGTTTCCGGTTTGAGTAACGGGCCAGGGGGGCTGGGCAGGGCCCTGAATAGGAGCTGGCATTGCCCATCAGATTATCTTGCTAGGGGAGGCTGACGTGGCCCCACCCAGGCTCAGGGACTGGGCCTGGAGGAGGGCCAAGGGATTGGGGGGAGGGTGTTGTACTGGTGTCATAATTGGAGTCTCACCCTCCTATGGAGCCATTGGCTCTTTAGAGTCCCAGGCTGCGTTTGATTGGTTTGTCTCATTCAACCTGGTTCTCTAGGGAATCAGATAGGGGGAAACATCAACCACCAGCACCAGAGGACTGGTTCAGGAGATGCTTCCGGGTCCAGGCTTCTCTCCTCTCTCCCATCCCTGTTTTGTGTGATTTTGCTGTGTGTTCCAACTCCTTCAGGACCTGATTTTTCCTCTCTGTCTGGAAAGAAAGGGGATGGCTTGGTCCTTCCGTTCTGCCAGCGAGATCTTTATTAAAAGAACTGGAGATCGCTGGGGCTGGTGGTGTAGCTTCATGTATTGAGTGCTTAGCATGCAGGAGACCCCTGCTCCCCTGCCCCAGAAACATAAACAAACCCCCCAAAGAAGCAAACTAAAAACCCACTACAAATCAGCCTGGAGACAGGATGCTTATTGGAAGTTAATTATCTCAGATCCCAAGTAAAGAACTTAATATAGAAAACTCCATACATTCAGCGGGACGTAAAATAAGCAATGTAGCCAGCTGGTGCTTATGTACGCCTTTAATCCCAGCACTCAGGAGGCAGAGGCAGGCGGATCTCTGTGAGTTTGAGGCCAGATTGGCTACAAGAGCTAGTTCCAGGACAGGCGCCAAAGCTACACAGAGAAACCATGTCTCGAAAAGCAAAACAAAGCAAAAAACAAAAAATAAGTACTGTAATATTATTAAGCATTTGCTGTTTGCTGTGTGGCTGGGTGTGTGTGGCAGAACCAGGGCCTAGCGTAAGTTTGAAGTGAGAATAGCCATAAGCTGGGCTTGACCCAGTCAGGCTCTTAGGGGTGTTTGGTTGGGCAGCTTGCTTATGCAGTTGTAAACTGAGAAAATGTCTCTGCCAGGGATGATGGTAGGTTGGGAGTGAGGAAGGAAGGAGATGCTCATGTTTACCACCAGGGGGTGCTAGAGAATGCCAAGTGGGCTGTAGGCACAGCAAGTTTTCGGGTTTTGTTTTTCTCCCTGGGTCCCTGCAAGTCTGTAGGACTGCACTGGCTAGGAAAACTCAGCTGCTACGTGGCCTGAGTGGGTGCATGTGTCATGAGGGTGAGGGTAGATGGAAGCCTAGGGTGGTGTTCTTGAAGAAAGAGTGAACGGATAGGATACATAAATGTGTGGATGAGTGAATGGGTGGGTGAATGGATTGGGGATTGGTGGGTGGATGTGTAGATTGGTGAGTGGGTGTGTAGGTGGGTGAGTGGGTGGCTGGGTAGATGAATGGGCACGTGAATGGATAGGTGAGTGGGTGGCTGGGTAAATAGATGTTGTGGATTGGTGGGTGGGTGGATAGATAGGCAAGTGGGTGGGTAGGTGGGTGGGTAGATGGATAGGTGGATGGATGGGTGGGTGGGTAGATGGATGGGTG